AAAAAACGGAATACATGCATATCTTTGATAGAGTTTTTATTAGTGTCTCTTTAGATTTATATTTTATATAATACCAGCAATGGTATTAATAACATATCTAATAATTAAAATTGTATTAAAGAGCAAAATTGATTTAAAAATAATACACAAACGGTACACAAATTTCTATCTTTTGAAAGAACTTTAATAAAAAGTAAAAAACAGCTTACACGCGTTATGTTATTTTGATTGTGCGCGTAGAGATTGCATAGGCACATATAAGGTCGTTCTGTTTGTAAGAGAATTGCTTACAGAATTGCTAACAGTATATTGCTAACAGTATAAAAGATAGTTTTCAATGATATAACTTCCCTTTTTATTGCAGTTAAGTTACATATTCTCAGAGAACAATGGTTTTGTTCTTTTACGCATTCTGTATACAGCATATTTAGAAGAATACATTTATAAACAATACGTAATACAAATGCGATATAAATTATTTTTGTACAGTATTCTATTATATTATTGAAGATAATAAAACTTGTAATAGGCTCCTTTATATTTAATAAAATCATTTTCCTTATTCTTGATGCTGTCTTGATAAATGAATAAAAATTCTGAATCCGATATATAAAATTGACGTAGCTCTTAAACCTCATTTTTCATGATTCATTAGCTACTTGACTATTAGAGAATTCCCCAGACTATTCGCACACTATTCGTGCTTTAAAGAGTTTTATACACTTTACAAGAATGTTCTCCTGTATATTGAAAAACATATTCATATTGAGAATTTCTTTTATCGAATTATAACACAATTTATGGAAACGTGCAGCAAATGTTGTTCGTATTTTAATCGTTCTTTAAAATATGATTTTGCATACGCAGACATCTGTTATGCATGTCACATTCGCGGTACGTTTAATAATGCGTAATCATACTTGTACAAAACAAATAACTAATTGTCCATAATTTAATTTCAAAGCAAAATACGCAAACGTCCGATAATATCGCTAGCTTTATTTCAAGCAGCAATAAATAATATGTGTCGTATATTTTATTAAGATTTCCTTGATAATAAAAATTTTTTATCTGTATCTATGCATATAAGTGACAAAAAAAGAAAATATTGTGCAATGAAGCAATATATAAATAATATACGATATATTACGTAAAATACATATGATACCATAACAAAAATTCTTAATAAAATACAATGGAGAATAAGGAGAATAAGAAAGTTCCATTCTACTATAAGTAAACTCTCTCGAATAAAGATCGAATTTCCAATGAGAAATCATAAGTTAGTGGTAACACCTTCATAGCATGATATATAATAAAAATACGGAAGAAGTGTATGTATAGATATCTGACTGAGCTTATTTTCTATTGTCGAAAACTACTCTATATGTCAGAGAATTGCGTCCTATTATGAAGGAATTATGTTCTCTTTTGAGCGAAATCACAGCTAGACTTTACAATCAAAATTTCATGGAAACTAATGATGCGAACAGAAATCCGACGGAATTTACGTAATACAAAGTCGGATCAACTTTCAACTGCGAACAATTCAAAATTCCACAATCTCGATTCTGAAACTTCCATATGTCATGTGATTTTCTTCATCTTTATATACATAAAAATAACATACATAAAACATTCTGCTTTTTTACAGTGCATGTATGATTAAATAATAAAATTCACTTGCACTTTTAATATTATATTAATAATTTCTAATTTCTGATTGCATAAATAATAATTTTTCTAAATTTTTATAAATTGCATTATGCAATTATAGCTTCACTATAAATATTTCTGATGAGTACTTATTATAATCAGAATATCAACATTACATTTACATTTGTTTAAAATAATAGCGATAATATTTTGTCATTGTTATGACTGCTAATCGATATCTTTGCATTTGAATGTGATTAGAAAATCGAGAGCTGATTGTTTTTTTTTAGAATACAACATTTCTTATATTATAATAATGTGCGTTAACATATTCTATCAAGATAGCAAATAAATTTTAATATGCATTCATTTAATGTGTATTTAATGTGTACTAAGGCCTACGAAGATGAATTTGTTTTGCGTGTCACGTTCGTATGTGAGTTTAACTCTCCTAGTATAACATTACCAGTAGTCCCAAGCCACTTATCATAATGCTATTGTCTTTCACAACTTTTCTTTTACTACACATCCTTTCTTCTCAAATTCAATTTATATTATAAGATTATCAAACAAAGGTATAAAAGTATTAAATATCTATGTCCTTTTTATCTTAATAACATCTTATCCGTCTCAATAACATCCAGAGCATTAAATAAATACGAAGATAAGAATTTAATAAAATATTTAGAATAACTTACGTGTTTAACCTATTTTTCGGAATTTATGCGATCAATTCGTTCTAATACATAGAACAAGTAATTTTAACATTTTTAAGATCATTAACTTTTAAAGACATTAAATAAATTTAATATTAAAAATTGGAAAGTTATAATAATGTTAAAAATATTTATTGTTATAATCTTTATAATTAAAAGAATAAGAAATTTTTCTTAAGTAGTTAATATTATTTATTATTACAAGAAGATTTATCCTAGATCTTTCAAATAATTTTATGAATGTTTAATTATTTTATCAAATAAATAATTATTTAATGTTAAAAATTAATATTAAAATTAAAAATTTAATATATATTTAATATTATACATATATTTAATATTATATATTTAATATTAATACTAACAATAATTATTTTTTGTAATTTCTTATGCATCTATTTGTTCTGCATAATCTATGCTATTTTTTGTAATTTCTTAATTTCTTATTTTCTTAATTACTTTTCAAAAATTTGGGAAAAATTCATATGGAGACCTCAAAGATTTTTTTAGTAAAGGTATAGTAAAAGTAAAAGTATTAGATCATCTTTTGTTACAAAGTGCTTTTCAAAATGTACTGACAGTAAGTAAGAATGTGTTGCAGAATCCAAAGTAGAGTAGTAGAACAATCTAAACTCTCATGTAATGATGGAAAGAAATTTGTATGTATCAGAAATGGCGATAACAACTATTCATTTAACTATTGATGTCTCTAGTCTATCGAAACTTTCTGCTTGATGACAGGCACGGTATAATGATCGTTGCAACAGGCTTGAAAGCATCTCCAAAGTTGCTTAATATTAAACTAGTTACTGATATCGTACAAGTAGATATTTATAACAAGTCCTTTCTCTGTTCTATTAAATCGTAAAAAATATAAAGTTAAATTAATAAACTTTAACAAATGATTAAAATCTCAAATATGATACTTTTTATATACATATCATTGTTACAAAAAATTGAAAAATTTCTTAAGTTATGATTACAGTTATGATCGCAGTTGATAAATATTGCAAAATATTTGCAAAATATTGCAAAATATTGAAAATATTGTGTATATATTAAAACTTAAAATAGATATTTTTGGTTAAATTATTTGGCTAAATTATTTATTTGGCTAAATTTTTATTTTTATTTTCTTCTTCTTTTACATATATTACTAATTAATACAAAAAACTTCTTCAGTTTAAAACAACAGTAACTTTAAATGTATTAACTGCGGTTTTAACATGAACATGCGGTTTAAATAGATAAGCGTGAATTGCAACAAATAATAATAAAAGTATACGTGTTTCACAAAATTTAAAATTATTAGTAATCTTTTTGCATTGCGCATGCACGTGTATGAATATTCTATTAAATGAACACTTATTTTAAAAATCTCACACGAGTAAAAACGATCAGAGATAAAACCGGTATTAAAACGATAATAATTTATACAAAAATACGGATATTAAAAACACGTAGGTATAGCTACGTGCATTTAATATCCGCAAATCTAGCGGATTTCAATATAATCCTATTGTATACTTTTATTCGTCGTATACTTTTATTTTTTTTCTAACATAGAAATAAAATTTGAAAGACTAATTAATATTTTCGACTATTTAAATGTTTATTTGTAAGTTTAAGATTTTAGCAATTAAAAGATATTTTGCTTTAAAAGTTAATACATACATACATATATTTCTTAACTATATTACTTATGCAATCGGGAGATTTAATGCCAAATGAAATTATCCCCTTATTAATCATATTTCATTATAACTTAGTTCAGAAAGTGAATTAGAATAATTCAGAACTTGATTATATGTTTCATATGTGACAATAGCTGCATAGTATGAAATTATATAACATCACCTGTTATAAGTGAATTAGAAATATTATATTTTTATAATAACAAACATATACATGTACAAACAAACATGTACAAAAATTATTGTGATTACATATGCTTATTAAAACACATATATATGGTTGTATAAAAAAAAATTTAAAAAGAATTATTAGAAATTATAAAAATTATATTTAGTGCATGAAAAAAATAAATATCGATTTGAACTATACAAAACCGATAATTAAAATACATTAATATTAAAAATATAAAAGATAAATAGTTTTCTATGTCAAGTAGATATAAAGATATTTAAAATTTATTTTCAACAAAATTAAAATTTTATTCACAAGTAACAATTTTTGCTTTCATTCTTTTTAAACGATTCCAGATGACCCAGATACTAACAACAAAAAGTAATCTTTAAAAAATATTTACTTTCAAAGTTTCTTCCCAGTCACCTATTTTATAAAACCAGCGCATTTTCTCAAGAGATACTAAATGGGATTTTATTACACTTATTACTAAAATACAATCTTGTTACACTTTTCTAATACTTTTATTCTACTTTTTTTCCTTTAATTTAATCATCTCACTTATTTTTATTGTTCAGATTATAACGGCAAATATAATTAAAAAAATAGATACGAATA